AAAAGTGAATTGGGGGAAATTGGAGGGGGAGAAAAAGCATGAGAGATTCTGGACTCTGAGAAACAAACTGAGGATTTTGGAGGGGAGGGGAAGTGGGGGGATGGATGAGTCTGGTGGTGGGTATTAAAGAGGGCATGTATTACATGGAGCACTGGGTGTGGTGCATCAACAATGAATCTTGGAACATTGAAAAAAATTAAATAAAATTTAAAAAATAAAATAAAATGTATTTATAAGTACAAACAAATTACTCTTGGAACAGAGAAAAATCAAAACTATGATAAAAAATACTTAGAGGGGTGCCTAGGTGGCTCAGTTGGGTTAAGCCTCTGCCTTTGGCTCAGGTCATGATCTCAGGGTTCTGGGATCAATGAGCCCCCCACTAGGCTCTCTGCTCAGCGGGGAGACTGCTTCCTCCTCTCTGTCTGCTTGTGATCTCTGTCTGTCAAATAATTAAATAAAGTCTTTTAAAAAAAAGAATACTTAGAAATAATGAGAATATCGTATTTTACAATCTGAAGTATGAGATCGATGTAATCAGAAGCATATTTGTAACATTAAATACATTTTTAAAGAAAGAAAACAAAAGAAAGATGTGATTGATACTGTAAGTTGGATCTATGCTTTTCTGTTAGAGTAATATTATTCATGTGAGAGTTGGTTTAATTCTCATGTAAATAACCACCTAAAATTATTTACCTATATTTTTAGATTGATAAATCCACTTTATTCATATGAATTTTATAAATATACCAGGAGTTATATAAGTAGACAAGTATAGCTTCATTTTTTCAACGTAATGAGTAACAGGGGTGATAACCCTACGTTCTACCCAATAAGGTTGTCGGTGAAATTCAAATAAAAATATGAATGCCAAAACACCTTATAAACAGGAAAATGCTCTCCATAGTGACAGTATAAGAAGCCCCACCTCTTTTCTGAAAAAAAAAAAAAAAATGTATAAAAACTATCCTGACCATTCAAATATGCCCAAAATGGTAACAATCTTTCCATCCTACTCTGGAATTTAACAAGCCCCAATGTAGGAAATAGGTAGCTGGGAGATTACAGGCTGACCAAAGGGCCTAGGAATGCCCTACCAATAATCCTGACATCTCTGGTTTCCACTTATCACTGATTACTGTTGATGGGGATAATAGCAATAATGATAAGAATAGAAGGACTAACGGTTACTGGACACTTCCTATATGCCAGGTCCAGGGCTAGGGACTTTATAAACATTATCTCAAGTACTCTTCATATAAACCTATGAGATGGACACTGTTATTATCCTCATTTTATGGATGAGTATATAGGTTCACAGAGGTTCACACAGCTAGTAAGTAACAGAGGTGTAAGCCCAGGCAACATCTTTGTTTATCTTTGAGAATTTTCTTTGTTGTGTCTTTACTGAGTTTTCCCCTTGGCCAAAGAAATTTTTTCAAATTCAGAGATGTGTTCCAAATATCAGTGGAAATAATTTTAATAAATTTAATTTCATTTTCAGTAAATCATGGTCCGAAACTTGAATCTATTTTAAAATCTAGGTGTGTATTTGTTTCTCATTGCTGCTATAACAAATTACCATAAACTTAGTGGCTTAAAACAACTCAAATGTATTCTCTTCTGTAGTTCAAAAATCCAATATGGGTCTTTACCAGCCTAAAATTAAGGCATTGGCAGAGCTATGTTCCTTCTAGAAGCTCTAGGGGAGAACATATTTCATCACTGTTTCCAGCTTCTAGAATTCCTTAGCCCATGGTCATTTTCAAAGTACATCACTCCAACCTCTGCTTTGCTTATCACATCTCCTTTCTCTCACACTGATCCTCTTGCCTCCCTCTTAAAAGTACCCTAGGATATCACTGGGCCCACCTGGATAATCTAAGATAATGTCCCGGTCTCAATATCATTAACCTAATCACATCTGCAGTCTTTTTTGCTGTGTGAAGTAACTTATTCATGGGCTCTGGTGATTTGGACATGGCCACCTTTGAGGGGAGAGGCATTATTCTGTTTATTACAGTGTGCATCTGGGTAATAGTGAGTAATGAAAAGAAGACAAATAATGAAATTACTGTCCCAATCAAATATTCCAAAATCAGCACGGAATGAATGGGAGCACTACTCAGTAGAAGCTCTCTACAGAGGTGGTTCCAAGGCCAGGGTTTGGCAGTGAAAGGGTTGATCTACAAACAACCACAGAGAAAGGCAGACAGCAGATATTTTTAGGGCCATTCAGATCTGTCTAGGCTGGAGATATTCAGATGACCCCATGGGCACATCTAGTTTTGTTCACCATCAAAACCTGAGAGCATTATGCAATCCTACCTCACCAGGCACCTCCAGATTATGACTCAATTTCTCTGAGGAGTTTTCCTACAGGAAGAGAATATACCCATCAGGCCAATATTTAACACTCAAATTTTTTTTTAGTAAATTGATGTCATCAGTCTTTTGGGAGTTAGTTGCAGTGACTCAGCATCGCCAGGATTGGTAAACTCAGAGGAATGAACAAAGTTGGATTTCTGGCCCAAGGAAAGGCCATCAAGGTAGTACTGCCCTAGGGAGGGCTCTTGAGTCCATAGCAGGTTGAGCCCTCATAATGCTAGACACTGCCTTTTGGATGTAGGTACTCAATTCCTGGTTACTGAGGGCAGTAGCAGTAAAAATTACTTCCAACTTTACTAAATATGAGATTCAGACAAAGATTCACCATGTTTATTCTGATTTTTACCACAAATTCAATAACCATGTTTAACAAGAAAATTATGTAAAATAAAGCTTGCTAGAAAAAAAATCACAAGAAGAGATAAAATATATGAGAGACAGGGTGCTGTGATAGAGGGCTGAGAACAGGATCTGAATTCCAGCTCTGCCTCTAAGTCTTTGTGTGATCTGGGACAAGATTCTTCTCATCTCTGAGCCTCAGTTTCCTTATTTGTAAAATAAGGAGCGTGGTCAAAATCAATGATTCTCATCTTATTGCATATTAGAACCACCCAGTGAAATTTTGGAGACTGTCAATGCCCATCCCTCACTGGAATTGAGAACCATTGTGTCTGAATGATGGCCAAGGTCCTTTACACATCTGTTCTATCATTCCATGAAGTTTCTGGGATTTGTCAATGAAAATCTGGATTTGAATTTGTTGAAGACACCCATCCTTCTCATTGAATAGCAAATTCAACTGAACAAGGAAATGAAAATTGAGTGTTCACTGGAATGAACTGAACTGAATTCAACTGAACAAGGAAATTGAAAATTGAGCATTAACCTAGATCCCTTAGGGGTTTCTGCAATCAAAGACCTTACTGTGTGCCAGTTAGGTGACCAAATAATTATAAGTAAGAAGGTATGTACATTGTTCCCTTCAAATTTTATCATACCCATGTATTAAATGGATAATTTCTTTAACTTTTGTTGGGCTTCTTTTTCCAGAAATTCAGAGCCTGTGTTATGCATCCTTTCCTGTATTTCTCGGTGAGAGGGCAAGATTTGGATCATCTGATGCACAGAGTTCTAGCAGCCAAAGCAAGCTTCCTGGTTCCCCACTTGGTAGGCTTTATCTAAACCCACCTGCCCACTTTTTGCTGCCATTTGGAAGTCAGACAGCATCACATTTCACTTTTAATATTCACTGAGTGATTACTATGTACCAGACACTATTCCAAGAGTTTTATGGATGTTAACTCATTTAATCTGCAAAAGATTCTATGAGATATACACTATTGCTTTTCCCATACCACAGATGAAGACAATGAAAGAACTAATGTTACTTGTCAAACATAATACAGCTCGTAAGTGGGGAGATGAGATTCAAACCACAGATTGGTTCTCATGCTCTTAATCAGTTACAAATGAGTTCAGTGCCTTCCAGAAAAGTGTTCTATAGCTACTAAAAATAATGCTTACAAAGAATGAATAGCAACAGGGGAAATGTTTTTGTTTAAATCTTAAGTGCAAAGTTAGTAAGGTAAACTCTTACAGACAATACTATGATAAAGATTGTGTAAAGTCAAAACAATACACAAATCACTAAAAAGCTATATGCAGTAAAGAAAAAAAAGACTAGAAAAAAATAAAATGGAGGCTGTAAGGAAAACAACAAAATATTAAGAATGCTCAGAAGGTGCTATTATAAATGCATTTTAAATTTTTCCTATCTGTATTTTTTCATAATGATCAGGCTTTCTTAAAATCTCATCCCACAGTGGCAAGTAAGTACCATAAACTTTTTTTTTTTTTAAAAGAAAACATTAGGGCTTAACTCTAATATTTTCTAAGGGATGACCAGAACTGATGCCTTGCTTTTGGCAACTTCCTTGATTCTAGTTCCTCTGCTCCACCCTCAGCATATGCCTGGTCCTTTCTACCTCACCTTGGACTGACCAAGAATGCCTTCTTTAGAACCATATGTGTAAATAAAAGACATTGCTAGAATTCCTCTGTCCTTTCAAGGGGATCATTAGTGCTGAATCAGTGTTATTTGTGAGTTCTCTTGGTATGTCAAGTTCAGGCAAGGAGAAAAGCCAAACCACCCACACTGTCTGTATTAGATCTACTAAAATAACATCATTGAGATATCAAGCATTCTTAGTCTGGGTTATGGCATCATCTAAGAATGAAAAAGTCACATTAGATCATCGGCTTGGGCCTGGAATTTTATTTTGGATCTCTAATCTCATTCTAAAAGGAGCCATTTGATTTCCATCTTGAGTATTTTTCTTTGGATTTCCAAACCAAAAAGAGGAGAGATCTTCTCTTCATCCCTGAGGTCTAGAACACCACTGACCCGGCTGAGGAAACAGGAAGCATGGCAAAGCTGTCTGTGGTGCTAACAGGCAATGTGTGCAATCCACAAAGCACCATCACTATCCTGGTGGCCTGAAATTCTCTGGGGACCTTCCTGACAGGCTAATACTTGTCATGCTTATGGAGGGAGGACTTGGGTCCCTAGGATGTGAGGAAAGGGTAGTCACAGGTGTCCCTTGTGAAAGATGCTGTTTGTATTCCACACATGGCCCACACCTCCTGATACCAGGTCAGAGCTGGACCTGTATAAAAGTCGGAAGCTTCTAGGAGCACCTCAGTCCACCTACATCCTGGGTGATCTGCTCTGGTGCCTGAACCAGGTAAAGTGCATCTTGAGGACCGGGAGAGACTCTTGATGTTGGTGTTTCAAGCAGAGATTAACCCTACAGGGGTTGAGAAGAATTTTTTTTTTTTTAAGAGACAGAGGTAGGGAGGGGCAGAGGGAGAATCTTAGGAAGAGGGGATCTTTTTTTAAACATTTTATTTATTTATGAAAGAGAGAGAGAGAGGAAGTGGGGGGAAGGGCAAGCTCCCCACTGAACAGGGAGCTGGACATGGGACTCCATCTCAGAACCCTGGGATCATGACCTGAGCTGAAGGCAGACACTTAACTGACTGAGCCACCTGGGTGCTTTGGGAGAGAAAGAATCTTAAGCAGGCTCTACACCCAGTGCAGAGTCTGACGGGCGACTCGATCTCATAACCCTGAGATCATGACCTGACCTGAAATCAACCTGAGCTGAAATCAAGAGTCAGACATTTGGACACTTAACCGAGACAGTGAGACACCCCAGGCTGAGGGAAATCCTAAGAAAGAGACAGCAAAAAAAAAAAGATTTGAATGGGAGAGTTCTGCTGGAGGGTGAACCTGTGAGGTAGGAGAAGGGAAAGAAGGGTGGGTGTCTTTTTAAAACCAAAAGGAATTCATTTGAAATTATGGAGTTCCTCGGTTGAAACCTTTTGTATATTTCTTGTAACTGATTTTGGGAGATTGGGTTTAAAAATCTGATCATCATAAATATGGAATCTCATGAATTCATAGTTCAATTTTAAATGTAGAGAAGTTACCTTGGGCTGGCTGAACTTAAATGCTGTTTCATTTTTCAGCTTCATTCAGTTTCTGCTGAGATGTCCTGCCAGCAAAGCCAGCAACAGTGCCAGCCTCCTCCCAAGTGCCCCTCCAAGGGTACTCCTAAGTGTCCTCCCAAGTGTCCCCCAAAATGCCCCCCTAAGTGCCCAGCCCCCTGCCCACCTCCAGTCTCCTGCTGTGGCTCCAGCTCTGGGGGAGGGAGCTGCTGCAGCTCTGGGGGTGGCGGCTGCTGCCTGAGCCACCACAGGCCCCGCCGATCTCTTCGACGCCGACACCAGAGCTCTGGCTGCTGTGGCAGTGGTGGTGGCCATTCCGGAGGCTCCAGCTGCTGCAGTAGCTCTGGGAGCTCTGGCTGCTCTTCTGGGGCCTCTGGATGCTGCAGCAGCTTTGGGGGCTCTGGCTGCTGCTCTGGGGGCTGCTGCTGATCTGGGCCATGAGGAGCACTGACGAGCAGCACTAGAGGAGCCAATGTGCCAAAGACCCGCCCAGCCCGAGAATTCTCTTTTCCCCATTTGGAAGAACAGAAGAGGATGGAAGAGCCTCTGAAATGCTTTGAGTTTCCCTCTTCCTCCCACCCATGTCCATTCCATTGTGAGGTCTAGAGGTTTAACCTGTGACAGTCACTAGCCTGATTCCCTCTCAGACATAGATCTGTTGCTGGAGTTCAGTTATGAACTTGTTGGAGTTCAGTTATGAAGCTGCTTTCTCTGTAACAATAAAGCTTCTTATTCATGATGTCACAGTCTCCTGATTATGTCTGTTCAACTCTCCCATTCACACCCCTCCATCAAGCTCTCTGCCCTTCCATTTTCTTAAGTGCAAGTGATTACTTTACAATTCAGTTTGAGAAGAAGATTTTGGCACTGAAGCTTCTTAGACTTCTGGGAAACAATATTCACTTTTATGCTCTGATTTTGGAAACTTTAGCCTCGAAGGAAAGAGTCATGTCTGAGACTATTGCCCTGACACAAGCTTTGCATGAGGGGAGTCAGGAATGGGTTTTAAGAGGGGAGGATGGTGATACCCAGGAAGGTCACAGTGATGTGAGATGCTCTGAAAAGGGGGTTTCCTTCAAGCATGGGTGATAGTTCAAAGAAGACTTTATCTCCTAGTTATGGGGATAAGGTCTCCTCAAGTTCTCATTCGGGGCTCCAATAAATAAACATACTTTACTTTTCTGATGGTTATAATCCCAGGTGCTTCCATCAGTTACTAGAGAGTAGAGGGTTGGATTTGGGGGAGTAAGTTTAGGAAGCAGGTATGAAATGTCTGAGTCCATTTTCCCTGGATCCTGAAAGGCTAAGTATGGGTTCTGTACAAAACCAAAAGGGCATCCTCCTCTGCCAAACACTGTCTCCGTGTGGTTAGTGTGTGTGTGTGTGTGTGCATGTGTGTTAAGGGGAAGCAGGAGGGCTTTAGTCACAGTGGTGAGTTTTCCATTTTCTTTAGGAATATGCTGATTTCTTCAGGAGATACTCAGAAAGTTTATGTAGGAATGATAATTCCAAATCAGCCTTTTATAGACCAGAAGAACAATTAGCTTTTCCTTTGATATGAGGTAACAGTGCTAGGTGAAGTAAGTTAGTATATGAGACTGTAGCAAGTTCATAGACCATTCCTGCACTTGCCCATGTCATCTCCCAGTAGAGATCCCTTCTCCCAGAGGCTTTGTTACTTCATCACTTCCTTCTCTATTCTAATAAGACCTTACCTCTTAGAATGTCTCACCTGTACTCACCAACAGGTGCCCCCAGGTATAAACAACCTGTTAATCAGGCTCTTAAAGTATGTTAGATGAAACTGGTATCTTTCATGATTGACCATTCTTTGTTCCACCATTCCATGCCCAGCCCACTTACATCTAACCTGTCGCTTAACCATCAACTCTTGAATTCTTAGTCTTGGGTTTCTCTTCTATATTATGGTTGTGGGTGCTTGCATTCAGTAAGAACTTCTGAAGCCAGTTGACGTCCAAACTGCACCAGTTCTTAAAACTCAGTTTTTAAAAGCACCATTTCTCATGGACATTTTGGACCTTAGGAAAGGCCTGGCTTGACATCCTTCTCTCCCTTCTTCTTCCTTTCTTTTTCTTTTCCTTCCTTCCTTCCTTCCTTCCTTCCTTCCTTCCTTCCTTCCTTCCTTCCTTCCTTCCTTCCTCTTTCCTCTGGACAGTGGTTCCAAGGAGAACCTATCTTCAAAAGGATTTTGGTGGGGGCGAGGAGTAAGGAGCAAAGAGTCCCACAAGCTGGCTTAGCATTTTGCAATTGGGCAAGGCATCCTGTGCACATTTTTCTCTTAGGCCTCCAGGGCTGTATGGGGATATGGCAACCTGACTACATTCACAGCCTCTCTGGTCTTAAAGTTTCCATAACTTTGTCTGGGTTTTTCTTCCTGTTTCCAGTGACAGAGAGAAATCACCACTGGGATTCCCAGAGGCATATCCCCACCATCATCTTAACTCAGTGTTATCTGGAAGCTTCTAGATGAAGCCCAGCAGGCTTTTCATATAGCCTGTGGCCTGAATTGAAAAGCCAAGGACCAAGGGTCAGAGAGATGCAAAGCAAGATAATAAATTAGGTAAACTACCACCACCAAGTAAATGACTACACAGGGATGGATGTGAGAATGGGAGAACTCTGTGTGTGTGTGTGTGTGTGTATGTGTATTGTAGAAGAAGCCAAAGAGAACAGGTCCTAAAGAGAGGTCCCAGATCCCACTTGAGCCCCCATAACTTCTCCTAGCACACACACAGCCCTCCCAGCTATGGACAGTGACTTATTTGGAAAGTAAACATGCCACAGCAATCCTGGCACCTCTGTGAAGTGACTTGAATACCCACGTGCACCACCTACAGTGCTACCTGTGTGATGAATGTCTCTGGGATGTGAGCATCAGCTGACCATGTCTATTGGGAAATGGGTCCCTCCCAAGAGGCAGTGCCTGCCTGCAATCTTATAAAAGGTTCTCTGGCTGGACACTGCTCAGTCCACTGCCTAGCAGGTGCCCCATTCCAGTTGGAGAACTAATTGATTCTTCCAGTGGAGCAGGGACTGGTAAGTGTCCAAGCAGGACCTCGGGGGTAGTTCTAGATTTGAAGACAGAGGGTAGGAGGAGGCAGAGCCATGCCTTAGGCTTCAAGTGAGCCAAACTCTCATGGTACCAATGAGGACATGGAGGCCCGACTGGGGACGGTGACTTCTGCAAGGTTAGCAGAATGTGGCTAGAACCCTAGTCTTCGGCTCCCTGGACTAGGATGTATTTCCATCTTCTACACCACTATGTAAACTGTCACACTCTTTTCCCTGTACTTGGGAATGGGCCATAGGCAGGAATGACGACCAGGACATGATTCTTGTATTTGTGGGTTCTTTAGACCCAGGTAGCTGGTCCTTATGTGTGATTTGGGTATTTTCTAATTGATGGAGTGTTTATACAATGCTAATAACTATGTGAATAGCACTTGAAAGTCTGTGGCCACAGGAAAATAGGAGAAGAGAAGAGAGCCAAAGGAAGAGTTTGGACTAGATCATGCAGATAAATTTCCATCATATCCTCTCTAGCTTCCATGGTGGAGAACTTGGGTGGTCCTTATTTTCCTCAGAGAAAATGGAAACCCATTGATTCTACCAGACTGTTCCCTGCTTTATGCCTCTTTAACTCAATGGAAGTACCTGGTTGGGTGTGTTTCTTTGCTTCCCCTCCTTTCTCCCTTGCACCAGGCCAGGCTAGCTTGCTCACAAAGCCAACCACATCTCTAAAGCCCTGAGTTCAGTTGTTAGGGTGGAAAGGCCTGCTGGCGTGTAAAAGGCTCCTTGTCTTCCAGGTTCACTGTGACGATCTGAGCTCCACCATGTCCTCCCAGCAGAGCGCGGCTTCCGCCAAAGGCTTTTCCAAGGGGTCTTCCCAGGGCCCTGCTCCGTGTCCTGCTCCTGCACCCACAGCCTCGTCTTCCTGCTGTGGCTGCTGTGGTTCCAGCGGCGGTGGCTGCTGTGGCTCTGGAGGCTGCTGTGGCTCCAGCGGTTGTGGCTGCTTCCCCAGGAGGCGCCGCCGACAGCCTCGAAGAGGGTGCTGCAGCTGCTGCGGCGGTGGCAGCCAGAGCTCCAGCAACGTCCAGAGCCAAGGCTGCTGTGGTGGCTGCTGAGGCCCCCGCCACCCTGTGAGCTGCTTTAGGCTGCCGCTGAGCCCTGTTTCCCCACCCAAGTCCCTGCTGCATGTCACTGTGCTCCCGCGTGGGGCTAGGTTGGGGTGTGCCTCCCTTCCCCTCCCCTCCCAACCTACCTGCACTGGATGTTCCAAAACCCACCCTGTTCTCAGGCCCACCAAACTCTTTGACCCCCGTGTGATTTTTCTCCCCCGGAATCTGAGCACCATGTGTGGAATATTGGACCCTACCATTGGCAGGGCTTTGCACACAGTTGGTGCTTAATAAATGTTCATGTCATAATAAAACTTCTACCTCTCAAGAACTCTTTGTTTCCTATTGTTCTTCCATTCATGTGTTTATTATCGTGTTCTGTTACCCTGTCCACTACCTCTCACTTAGCCGTGGCTTGGCATACCTGAAAGGGAGAAAAATCAAATTCATGTCTGAACAAGAGTGGCTTCCTGTACTTAATTATGATAGCAGAAATCACAAATGGAGCCAGACAGTGTGCTAAGGACTTGATGTGACATGCACCACCTCACAGCATTCTTGCAATGACTCAGTGGGGGTATGTGCTTTTAACCCATTTTACAGAAGAGAAACCAAGGATAAGTGATTTGCTCAGAGTCACTCAGCCAGTGGATGATGGAGAAGACTGGGTGTCTTACTCCAGGCTTAAACTCCTAACTGCTCTGCTGTATTCCCTGAAACTTTCCAGAGCCTTCTGGTTGATGTGCTCACCCTCTGGCTCATCAGGTCTTGCACAAGCTGCTTTGTGGGAAATATTTGGATCTGTAGTTCTTGGATCCAAAGATCCAAGGCTTTGGAATCAGGCAGTCTGAGACTTTCTTTTGCCACAGAGGATCATCAATCCACTGCTTTGCTTGCTGGGTGAGGAACGTGCCAGGAGCCCGGGAAGCTCCCTCTTTAGGCCTCATCCACTCATCTGGGGCCCGACCAGGAGTCATGGACTTCTGGGACTCTGTAGGGTGAGATGAGCCATGCTCAGAGCATGGCAATGTCATTTTCTTGAGGTGGCTGTGATGGTGGTGGCAGGATCATCCTGAGGCTGTGGGCCTAGATCTTACCTACTCACTTGAGGAAAGAGGAAACAGGGAGAACGACATCCCTGTGGTCTTGGCTGGTTCAGAATGCAGGGGATGGTAATACTGGTGGTGATAATAGGAACAATTGCTGCCACTTATTGGGCACTTCCTTTGTTCCAGGCACAGGGCTAGGCACTTTACATACATCTCTCAGCTGATCTTCAGGGTAATCTCAAAATCTAGACTTTACTCAGATTTTTTTTTAAATCTGAGTAAACAGGTTCAGAGAGTTTTAGTTGATTTGCCTAAAGTCATATAGCTAGTGAATGTCCAAGGATAGTGAGTGAGGAAGATAAGATTTGAACCAGGATCTGTGTGACTCCAAAGTCCTTGTTTTCAGAATTGGCATCATATTCTACTGCCTTAGAAATCCCCACCACTCAGGGGAAGGGACACTCAGGCCTCTGGACACACCCAGGCTCATAGAAAATTGAAGCTTGGCTCCTTGGTACTGTTTCATCAGTAACCCAATGACTAGCAAGCTCTGTCATGGCATCCACCCTGCAAAAGTATTTGCTCAGAGGCGAGGTAGGAGATGGTCCATTGATTCATCCAGCAGAGGCCAAATGACCCCTATTGGGGAGCCTCTGAAGGGCAGCCCTGCTCTGCGTGGGAGGGGTCCCTACTTCCATCTCTGAGATTCTGCGATTCCTAGTAGGAGGTGACTTGTGGAATCTGTTTACAAACAGATGACATCACCGAAGGACCTGCCCCTCCCACACAGTGATGTGTGTTGGAGCAACAAGCCTTAGGCCCCAGTAGAGGGGTGAGGTGGGAAGGGAGCTCTGCTTGACTCAGAATAGACAGAGTGAAGCTAGCCTGAAGGCAGGAGGTGACCCTCACACAGGAAGCTGATGTCTGAGTTTTGGGGAAGAAAGGCAGTGACTTATTGAGAGACATGTGAATCCTAATGGGAGTACACACCTTTTTATGTTAGGCATATTTGTATCAAATGCCTGGCTGTGGATGGCAGTACCACCAAGCTCATGTATCCCTGACCCAAGCAAGGTACCACAGGGGTGGTTTGATGACAGGGATTTGGGCATTCAAAGAATAGTTTCATTACCGAAACTTGGGGAGCTGCTCTGGATGGGCTGGGGCTCTGTGTTCATGGCTCCTAGCTTTTTCTGATGTCCAGCATCAGTTAAAGAAGCTGGTACAGGCATTCCCTCTGAAGTAGCAGCAGTACCCCCTGAAAATGCTGGTATTTGGCAATGTGAGGTCCTACCTGGAGGTTGTTACTCAGAACACTGTAACAGCCAGAATCAGATCTTTGGATAATAAGATCTTTGGATAATAAACAGTATTATTGAATACATTTTATTCACAATTGCTCAAGTTTCAGCTTACATTATGTTATTCTAGCAGTAATAGTAACAACTGATATTTATATGGAACTTAGCAGTTTATAAGGTATTATTAAATATCTCTTTCATGATTCTTTAACAAAAGTGTTATTATTTCTGTTTAACAGACTGGAAAGTCTCTGGGGATTTGTGACCCATCTGAGGTTACTCAGCTAACAAGTTGACAGTCTCTGGTTGGACCAGCCTTCTAATGACTTCCAGGAGAGTCAAGAGCCACATCTTCTGAACCTGCACACTGAACAATTGAATAATGTCACTCAATTAATTATTTATGGACAGTACATGCTTGGCATTGAAAACTGTTGCAGGTACCTATAAGAGGTCAATATATAAATGAATGTTTGTTAGTGCATCACACAGAGAGTGCTGTGCTGAATCATTCTAGGAGATATGCAAAAGTATGTCTTGGCCTCAGTAGTTTATAGTCTGATTTGGGAAATATGATAAATAATCACACAAGGTATGAGTGATAACTTCACATATAAGAAATAACTTCATATTCAAATACTGGTAATACTTAACAACAAAAGAAATGTCACAAGCTGAATATGGCATAGACAATGACCATCCCTATGGCCATCCATTCAACCGAATATAGAAGGAATTTGTTACAGGACTTCAAATGAGGACAAATTACTGTGGACTGGGTTATTCACAATACCTTGTAACAGGGACTCTACCTCTGTGGATCCTGCCTGTGTGGACCCTGACTATAGGAACCTGCCACGGGGACCTCATATATATGTGGACTCTGCCTATGCTGGCCCACCTATATGGACCTACCCCTGTGCACTTGCCTATGTGGACCTACCATAGGGACCCTATTTGCGTAGATCCACCTGTGTAAACATGTTGATGTGGAATTGTCCATGTGGATCCTGCCTGTGCAGACCTGCCATGGGGACTCTACTTTCTAGTGTGAAGATAGATAAGAAAGAGAACAAGAAAGACATTGTTTCACATGGTGAAAAGTGCTGTGGTGAAAATAAAGAAGATGAGGTATAGACATTAAGTGGAGGTACATGGGGATTTTAGATAAGATCAGGGGAGGCCTCTCTGAGGAAACACTCTCTGGGTCGAAAATGTGGGAGCCATTTCACAGATCAAGAAAGCACATGCTTATGAGCTTCCTGCCTCTTGGCAGCCTGAGGCTACAGTGTTCAAGGGGTGCTCAGTTACATTGGCCCCATTAGAGACTTTCACTACTAAGAAAGTCACAAAGAATTCCAGCTGGTGAGCACACAGATTTGGTAGTGAGATGGATTATATATTGTGAGCTGGGTATTATTCCACTTAATCCTCACAGTTCTTCCACAACTAGGTTTCTCCTTACATTTTGTTAATAGGAAAATTGAGACACAGGGTTCTAAGGTTGCACAGCTTGTAATTGGCAGAACAGGGTTTTGAACGGGATGTCTGACTCTAAAACCAATGTTCTGAACACTGAGCTATGGTATGAATTTCTGGGAAAGAGGGGAGTAATTTCAGGATTGAGCAGAAGGAGGAGAAAGGAAATCCAAGGGAGAGGTGGTGATATACAAAGATTATGAGGACATATCCTTGGAGAGGGAGTGATGAGGCCAGAACATGGATGGTTTTGAGTGTCCAAGGAGCTGAGACTGTGCATACTTGTAGAGTGTGATGGTAGGAAAATGGTTTTAAAAGAAGTACTTTGAAAGATAGAAGCTGGTCTATACCTATAATATTTTCTAACATGGCCCTGAAATTAATTAGGCAACCATGACTAGCATGCTCTAGAGGAAGAAGTAAATAGAATATAACACATCATTGTGTGAAGGTGTAATAGATTTGGCTTGAAGTGAGGATCCAAATTCAATACATGGCAGTGGGTAAGAAAAGGAAGTAACAGATGTGAAATCCATCTGTCAAGATGGAAGAAGAATAGACAAAATCAGGTGATGTATTAGGACCAAGAAGAGGAAATAATTAGAATGTCCCTGAGGCTTTGTGCCTGGTGACAAGGAAAGGATGATACCATTAACAAAACAGAAAGTCTGGAGACAGGAGCAGTGTGGGAGGAAGAGGATGAGTTTAGTCCAGGACATGTTGAGTTTGAGGTGCTGGCAAGACATGACCATGAGAAAGGAAATGAACCTGGAGCTCCAGGCATAGAATCCTTGAAAATTGAAATAAACACATAGTAATAAAAACTCCTCTCCTCAAAGAGAGGAGTCAAATCCTTGGGAACAGATGTAGTCCCACCTAAGCAGGGAAATTATTGAGAGAACAGACCTGTTCTGTCATGTTCATTTCAGTAAACTCAGTGTAAAGAACAGGGACTGGAACATTGAAGACACTTAGTGAACATGTGTTAAGTGAGTGAGTTGAATGAATCAGTGAATGAATGGGCAATACAGAAAGTCAAGAGTTGAGCCGAGGGGGAAATTGAGCAGTTCAGAAGAGATTGAGTTCCATGTGAAAAGGGAAAAGTCAGAAAAATAACTCCAAAATTTGGACTAGATAATTGATACTGCTATTTTAAGATCTCAAATTCTAGTAATCCACGTGGAGGAGAACCAAGACAGGGCAGAGTTGCAGAAGCTAAAGGATGTCATATAAACCAGGTT